AAAAAAAAAAAAAAAGTAAGAAGGGCTGGGGATGTAGCTCAGTGGTAGAGTGTCCCTGGGTTCAGTCCCCAGTACCAAAACAACAATAAAAATAAAATCCAAAAGGTCAGGCCTGGTACCACTCAGTGATGTGAGAATTGTCCACTCTTTTCTTAGGGTGTCCCCCAACCCGGGTTSTGCTGAAATCTGCTAAGCCACCCGCCCTGGCTCACTGTGCTCTGGCCATCTGCACCCCACACTTCAGCCCCTTCCTAGCTGTTCTGCTCCTCTGACCCTGCTTCCCACCCCTCTTAGGGCTCACTGCCTCTCTTGCATGAGGGAAGGAGGTCCTTGAAGCAATGGCAAAATAGGTCCAAGTGTGAGTCTCCAGCTCCTGATGACGGGGACCCTGACCTGAGTGCAGGCTTTTCCTGTGGCCTGCAGCCTCTGGGTAACTCTGGGTGTGCTGTGTGCATGTCCAGGTGCCTCTCTCTTTCTCCTCCCTCACCCAGAGGGAAGGTAACTGAGGAGAGGAGATCCCGGATCCAGGACCTGACCTTCTCCCTGCCCTGCCCCCATCATGTCCCCTGAGTCCCTTCTCTTCAGAAACAGCAGACAGACATGCTGTGCTGAGGCCCAGGTGGACACACTGRTATTAATTTAGCAATTATTGATTCAGGAAGGACTTGGAGGACATATTTGCATAAACACCATAATGAAAATGGAACTTYTGCTGCAGGACTTAGGAGACTCAAGGAGGAGAAGGGGCCAAGGATGTTCTTTTAATTCACGCCCCTGGGCTCAGGATCTGGTCCCAGAGTGCCAGCCCTGTGTCTCCTTGGCTCTGTGGTAGTCAGACCTGGGTGGGAGGAAGGGAAGCCTGGGAGGGGAGAGTGGGGGAAGGGAGAGTGGGGGAGGGGAGGGCTGAGGATGATGAGGGAAGGCAGGTGTCTTGACAGCTTAGATGTCCTTGGGGATTAATGGGAGAAAAGCCCAAGCCAAGATCTCAAAGGATGATATTTGAGTTCCTGATGATGTGCTGTATCAGAAGGCTCCCCGCAGGATGCAGATGGTGAGCTCACAGGGTATGGAAGCCCGTAGGGGACCATATAGGATGCTCACTGTGCAGTACCTGGGGCTGGTCACCCCGGGGGGTGGTACCACCCCTGGTTCTGAAGGGAAGGGGAGGGAGAGTTTGGGAAACCTGGAAGCACAGGAGCACATGGGAGCCCTGGCCTGAAGGGGACGTAGCCAACTCCCACTGCTTTCTCCTCCAGCTCCATTGGTCAAACCCAGATGGAGGAAAAGGAGGCCCGGATGCAGTCCATGCAGGGGTCTCTGGAAGGAGAGAGCAGACTTGGAGGTGCCCATGGAAGTATCCAGCCCAWTGTCAAAGGGCCCAAGGGAACCCTCCCGTGTCCCCCTCCCGCCCGCAGCAGGTCGGCTCACACTAGTTGATTGCTCACTCTCTGTGGGGAACTGTTCTAGGTCTTTTAATGGCAGTGACTCCTRTAATCCTCACAGCTGCTGGTGAAATGGTTATTGTCATTATCATTCCCAATTTGGGGAAATTATGGCAGGGAGAGGTTACGTATTTTTCTCAGAGTCACACAGTTAGTAAGAAGAAGAGCTGGGATTTGACCTCAGGTTGTTTGGCTCCAGAAAGTTGCTCTTACCCTTTGGTACCCTGTTCTCCACTTCCTGTGGCCCTGTTTGAGAGGTCAAGGACCCGTGTTGGGGAAGAATTATGGTGGGCACCAAGGCTGAGACAGAAGAGCCAAACCCCATATGGCAAGAAGACTCTGCCTAGCACCAAGACAAACTCTGTGTGACAGTGTGAAAAAGTTTGGACTCAACTTCTCTGTGTGTCTACCGAGAGGAGTGGCCAGGCCCTTCTCGGGAGTGCAGAGAATGTGTGTGTTTGTGCCTGRGGATGAGGGGATCAAAGAGGGGTTATGGGAACTAATTCCTTGTGGGGTGCTAGACAGGGCAGGGTAGACCAGTTATGTCTGTCGTGATTTCCTTGAGGTCTTGCAGCAAGTCAAATGATGAATATCAACCCATTTCACACTCACGGGGAGCCTTAGGCAGGAGGAAAAGAATCTCACTGTTATTTTCCAGACCTGGAGGGAGGTAGAAGAGAGAGGAAGAGTTAGGAGCAAAGGTCCTGGAGTGGGAAGCAACCACAGGGGCTTCTGGTCCTTTGGATCTCACCTTTGGAACCCTCACCTGCCAACCCAGGCCTCTTCCCCCAGAGGAAGTGATTCTGATTCATTTCATGCCTTGTCAGAAGCCCCTGATCTAGTCCAACCTTTCATTTCATAGAAGAGAAAATCATTCTTTTCACAGCTGCATAGTACTCCATTAAAAGATGCACCATAGCTTAAGTAAGCAGCCTGTTTTTAGATATTTGGGTGTTTTTTTTTTTTGTCTTTCTATCATTTCAAAGACTGCCACAGTGAATAATCTCATACATAAGTCACTTTGCACATGTGCAGGTGCCTCTGTAGTCTATTTTTGCTCCTAACTATCTGTGGTGACAGAGCAAGTTTGATTTTTCAATTTGCAATCTGTCGCAGATGGATACTTATGTAAAATTCAATAAAAGTAAATTACTAGAGAAGAGAATTGAAAAAACAACATGCAAAATGCAAGCCCGAATATTCTGTTCTCTCTCTCTCTCTCTCTCTCTCTCTCTCTCTCTCTCTCTCTCTGGCAGTGCCAGGGATCATGCCAGAGCTTCATGCAAGCTATGCAAGCATTTTACCCCCAAGTTGTACCCTGAGCTCCAAATATTTTTAATACACATAAACATTACTTTAATTACTATAAAAGTTTTAAATACTGATCTTCACATTTCTTTATTTTTCATTTTTTTTAGTTGTCAATGAATATTTATTTATATTTGGTGCTGAGAATTGAACACAGTGCCTTACACATGCCAGGCAGGTGCTCTACCACTGCACTATGACTYTCACATTTCTGCAACCATCTCACTGAGAGCCATTACACTGTGAAGCCACACTTGTCTACAGACCCCCACTTTGAGGATGGCAAGCCTAGTCCTCCAAAATAGGTTACTGGGTCAATGGTAAATGCATAGGCAGTTTTGCCAGATACTCCCAGGCTACCTTCCACGGGGATATGCCATTTTGCACACACTGGCCCCTTTCCCCACAAATTCACCAAAAACTGTGGTTGTCTAACTTGAATTTTTATTACCTTGATAGTTGAGAAGCCTAAGTGTTAATTGGTATTGCTCTTCTTATGAGTGAAGTTAAGTGTCATTTGTATTTTAAGCCCTGTTTGTATTTATATTTTTTACCCACTTTCCTACTGAATGCTTGGTCTTTTTCTTTTTGGTTCTGAGGAGTTCTTTATATGTTAGGAATATTAGTCTCTGGTTTGTAATAAGAATTGCAATTTTTTTTTCAATTTGTCATTTGCCTTTTGATTTTACTTAATGTTATTATTTCGGGAGAGGGGGACATGCACAGGTTTGTGCTTTTTCCCATTGTTTAAAGTTGGTGCATTATAATTATACACAATAGTAGGGCTCGTTGTTACGTAATCATACATAAGTTTGTGCTTTTAATGTAGTCAGAGTTGTTAATGGATTCTGGATCCCGACTCATGGTTTTTCATTCTAAAATACAAAGGATTCTGCCCAAATTTTCTCCTAGTACTTTTATGGTTTTATCCTTAACATTTAAATCTTTTATCCAATTGCAATTTTTCCTAGTATAGGGTGTGAGGTCTTGGGTTTAAGTTTTATTTGTTTTGTTTTTACAAATGGCTACCTATTACCCCAGTTCTATTTATGAAAATCTCTTAAATACCACCTCTCTCGTTAAAACTAATTTTCAACCATTTGGGATCATAATAGAAAAATCTCTATAATTTGTCAATTTTGTCCAAAATACCATTACAAGGAAAATTAGCTTTCAAGATATGATCTATAACTTTCTATTACTAGTAAACTCTGAATAACATAAATACAATACCAATCTATCTTCAAAAACCCTGTGGGGGGTCTTTAAAGGAAATTGAGAGAAGTGGGCCTTGATGGAGGGAACACTTGGTGAGACTGAGTTTTGCATTTCAGGTCCTCTCCTCAGCCTGTCTCCAGGAGCTGGGACCGCAGAGGCGTCCACCATGGTGGCACCGAGACCCCTGGTCATCTTGCTGCTGCTGCCCAGCCTCACCCTGCTGGTATCCCACCTCTCCAGCTCCCAGGATGTTTCCAGTGAGTCTAGCGGTGAGCAGCAGCTGTGCGGCTTGAAGGAGCACCCTACCGTGGCCTTTGAAGGTGAGAGCATCCCACAGGGTTGTCCCAAAGTCAGAAAGGAGGTCAGGCCTCAGCAGGGTGTTCCCAGCTGCTGGAAGCCCCGGGGGTGTTCATTTCCTGTTAGGGTACTGAGACTCATCATCCGATAGATATTTTAAGAAGAACAGGTAACATTGGACGGGAGGGGTCTGATTTTTGTCTCCAGGTAATTTATTCAGGCCCTTCATTCACCTCCTGGGGCCAGTGTAGTCTTTTGCTAGGATTCTTTAGTTAGAGAATGAAGTCCTACGGGCCTCAGGTGAGAGTGGCAAGATTTGGTGGTGGTCTCAGTGCTGTTCTGGAAGCATCGGCTCCGTTCCTTGGCTTCTGTAGGGGAGGATACAGAGGAGCCTGGAGAGTTCTGGAAGGCTTCCTTCTTGCTCTAAGTCAGCTGCAGGGATGCCTGGCTTTGGATTCCTGGGAACCCCCACGGAAAGGGGGCCCTGTGTGTCAAGGGAGAGCGTGGGAGTATCCTATTAAAGTGTTTCCCAAACTGGGATTTGTGAATCACTGGACATATTCCAAAGGGTCCATAAGTTCTTCATGGTTTCTAAAATTAGTATATACATTTGATGATAATCCAAAAAGCAAAACACAGACACCAGAGAGGCCTGGATGTTCTCCCATTAACCAGTTTGAGGGTCTCTAGTTGTGCTACGATCACATTCAAACGTCAGGATCTACCATCTAGGTGGCCGTGGCTCACGCTGGAATCTGCAGGCGTAGTGTCCAGGGTCCCTGGGTTCTTGAGTCTGATCAACACTGGCCTACTCCTCATGTTAACTCCACTGGGGAGAGCCAGCAGGGCAAGGAGATTGTCACCTCCTTTTACTAATGGGAAGACTGGGGGCTGGAAGACTCAGAGCAGAACCTCAAGGTAGGTCTGTCTCCTGACTCCACGGCCTGTGATAGAGCAATCAATCAGGTGCTGTCCTCTCCTGTGCCCTGGACAGGAGGACATACAACCCTGTCCTGTGGGATTCCACCTGGTCAGTAGGGCCCCATGAGATGGAAACCAGAGCAGAGAAAGCAATCAGTACTCTAAGGCTGGAGTGGGATTTGAGGGATAGAAGGGCCACAAGGATGGGAGTTGGGGGCTTCCTGGGTGGGGAGGCTGAGGCACTTTGAAAGTGTGGGTTCCACTTCCCTTTTCCAAGTGGGAAAGTTTCCAGCTGTCTTTTCTGCACTGAAGCTTTGAAGCCTTAAGTGGATTATAGGCAATTAGCAATGTCCTAAGCCTGCAGAATGCACATACCCTCAGATATCTGATGGCCCCTGGAGTGCTGGTGGTTGTCACTAAAGTGAGGGGACAGAAGGAACAGAATTCCTAGGGCTGTTGGGGAGCCCCTATGACAGCTCCTAATGGACCATTTCCTGGTCTGTGTCAGGCAAATTGTGTGTGTGTGTGTGTGTGTGTGGTGCGGGTAGGTGGGAGAGCCGGAGTGCCTGGGTTCCCTGAGACTATTTTGATCTTGAGCTGTGAATTAGACAAATCTGACTTCCCACTCCACCCTCCACTTCCCCATTCTGACAGCTTTGGGTTTTCCTATCCATTCACCAAATTATCATTTGTGGGGCGGGGGTGGGGTGCAGGGATCAAACGTAGGGCCTTGCACATGCTGGGCTCACCAAATTTTTGTGGGCCTGGGTGGTGCCCGGCACAGAGCTGGGCTGTGGGCTTAGAAAGGGAAGGGTATTTCCTGTGGGAACTCAGTTACCTCATGTCGTTCCTTAAAGGGCTGCTGGCCTGGAATCAGGACTGTTTCTCAGGTCCCCTTGCACCTCTAGCACGGCTGATCACACAGTAGGGACTCAGTTCACACGGGGTGAGCGACGAGGCCCTGCTGGTTCTGGACAGTTGCACTGACCCAGCCCAGCACTGACCCCCAGCCGTTTCCCTTCAGTCCTCACTGAGTGGCAGGTCTCCCACCTTGCAGCTGTGAGTTTCCCTGTCCCCTGACACCTGACGGATCTGTGAATAACCCCTGAGTACCCCAGAGGAGCTGCCAGTTCCAGAGTCTGACTGGCGGGTTTTCTGTTTGTAAGGTTAAATGCTCTCCCCTGGGTTTCTGTTAAGGGGGCCCACCTGTGTTTCTCCGTGGCCTGCGTATTGTTCCGCTTGCCACCGCCTGTCCTTTCTAGGAGGCCGGGAGAAGCCAGTCTGGAGTTAACACTGGCAGTGGTTAATCCACAAAGTGGGTAATTGAATTGACTATAATTAAAATCACAGGCGCGTCATGGAGAATGTCATTTTTCTCTTAAAGTCGCCGTCCAAAGCCTTTGCTRCACACGGAGCTCAGGACGTGCTTGGTGTTTTAAAGACAGCCTTCCCTCTGGTCCCTTTGCCTGTTTAATAAGAGGAGGCTGGCTCCCTTCCCAAGGCTCCCCTGGGACCTCGGCGCTGCGCCCGGCCACTCTCTCCCCCCTCACCCCTTTCCATTTGCCATGTGCCTTCCCAAGGGGCTTCAGGGGAGAGACAGACACTAGAAGAGGCCCCCAACCCCACTGTCCCCATTGTCTACCGCTCTGGCTCTGTTTCCTTTCCTTCCCTCCTTCCTGGGGGGAAAAAAACCTGAATGAAGACTGAGTTAAGTCCCCAGATGAAGTATTTGGTGTGGACTGGCCATGCCACCTCCTCCCCCACCCAGCTGCCCACATCTGGAATGCTCCTGTCAGCAGGAGAGAATTAAAGTATAACCTATTTGCCACTGATAGGGAGCACCTGGTCTGATGGGGACAGGCAAACCTCCTTACACACACACACACACACACACACACACACACACACACACACACTCACAACATGGGTACAGTCACTGTGACAGTAATATACAGTGTGAGTGGAACATAAAAGGTAGGAGAGAATGTGGAACAAAATACAACCAGAGTGGAAAGGTCATAACCCAGGAGGTCTTCCTGGAGAGGGAGGGCCCTTGGTTTAGTCTCTAAGGTAATACAACATCCTACAGGATTTCAAGAGTGGCCCTGAGATCAGCTAAAGTCCCACCCACTGGACTTAAGATCGACTCCTTTTGCCTATTACCCAAATGCCACTGAGGCTATATGATGGTTCTGTCAACCCATAGTCACCTGCTGGGAGCAGGGGCAGCCCTGAGGAATTTGCTTCTTTTTGCTGCAGAATTTCTTCTTTTTTAAGTCGTGCGTATCACAGTTTTCTGAAAAACATCCAACTCGAAAAACCTCCAGTTCTCCAGGGAGCGATTAAGTGTTTGCCTGTCGTGCAGAAATGAAGGGCTGCTTTTACTCTGTAGTGGAGGGATAATGAGCAATGATTTATTTCCCTTGGATTACCACACACACACACACACACACACACACACACACACACACACACACGCCCTCCTCTGGGCCTTATGAGAGCCAGTAGCTGGTGTGCTGTGAGAGCGCAGTGCCTCCCATTCCCCTTCTCCTCCACCCCCCACAGACATCACTGCTCTCCCCTCGCAGGTGCCAGTTCTAGCTATGAGGCATGGGCTGAGCAAGAGTATTAAGCTGTCGTGGGCCAAGCTGGGAGCAGTGGGTCTCTTGAAGGAGGAAAAGTCAGCTGGCAGAGCTTAGGCGTGCCCTCCCAGAGACCACTCTGCCCATTCAATTCATTTGAAAAGTTAAGGCTTTGGCTTTGGCTAGGAAGAACCTTCTTTTAAAACAGGGGTGGACACTGACAGCCCACCCTCCATTCCTCCCATCTCTGCAGAATCTTGTCTGAAACCCTGTCTTTCCTTGTAGAAGTTGAGGGGTATAAATACATTCATTCAAACAGAAGGAGGTGCAGGGCTGAGCCTGGATATCCAAGAAGTAAGATCTGTCCAGGCCCCGGAAGAAACCTCGAGGGTAGAAGCACAGAGTGATGGGGTTATTAGGATGGCACTAAAGCAGAAGGAGCCCCTGGAGTCCAGGAGGGCTTCTTGGAGGAGGTGGGGTGGGGCGTGATAGGAACTATTCCATCAAGGGAGAAGAGAGGTGCAAAGGTTTGCAGGCTCTTATGGGATAGATTTGGAGGTGTGTGAAGTGTTTAATGTGACCAGGGTGAAGAGTTTGAGGGAGAGATGAAATATCGTTTTTGTTTTGTTTTGTTTTGTTTTGTTTATCCCTAAATAATGGATCATTAGGCATTTAACTTGGGAGGACAATGGATTCCCAGAGGAGTCAAGACTTCTCCTAAGGAGCTGGGGTGGGATCCAAGGTTCAGAGTGACATAGCATACTCGAAAGATTGTTCTGGTTGCCTTTGAGAAATAGACTAGAGGGGGCAGGAGTGGAAGCCAGGCTGGTCAGGAGGCTGCTGGCACCAGTCCAGGCAAGAGATGATGACGGCTTGTGTGCGGGAGTCGGGTCCAGAGAGAAAGAAGTAGATGGAGTTAGGGGATAGTCTGGAGTTAGAACAGACAGGGCACGCCAGTGTGTACTGGTGTGGCCGCTGAGGATAAGGGGGAGTGGAGGGCAGTTACAGGTGTCCCTTTGTGCATTTGTGGGGAGGGTGGAGACTTCCTCTGAACCAAGGGTCGAATGACTGCCTGCCCTGTGAGGTGGGCAGGTGGAACCCAGGCATCCTGGGGCCTCTACCCCACTTCATCCTGACTTTCACCTCTTTGCATCTCTGATCTGAGGCTGGTGCGGGGGGGGGGGGGCTGGTCCAACAGTAACGGAAGGGTTACCTCTCTCTCCACCAGATCTGAAGCCGTGGGTCTCTAACTTCACCTTCCCTGGAGCCCGAGATTTCTCCCAGCTCGCTCTGGATCCCTCCAGGAACCAGCTCATCGTGGGAGCCAGGTAATGAGGTGCAGGAGAGTTGGGGCCAGGGGTGGGATGCTCAGAATTGGATATAGAGACGATTACTGGAGATGACCCACCTTCTGGGTTCCAGTCCTCTCTGTTAGACTCTTTCTGTGCGTGAATGTCTGTCCCCCCAGGAAGGAAGCAGGTGGGGGTCAGTGGGTGGGGGGGGCAGGGGCAGGGCCTGACCCTATCTGGCATCCCGATCTCAGCCAGCCACATTCTTTAGTGGTTGGCAGAAGTGAGAGCAGGGATGCCTGCTGGCCACCTCCTGCCCTTGTCCCTGTGGTGATGCCAGGACCTGCCTAGTTAGCCAACTCCCGGGAACTCTGCACAGAGAAGGTGCCCAGGAGCCCCCTGCTGGTCAGCTGGCCACCTGCGCCTCGGGTGCCCGTCAAAAGCCTTGTGCTGCTTTTATGAATGGCCTTACTTCCTTGGGTTCCTTGGGGTAACCTCATTGTTCAGATAAAACTCTCTAGGGAGGCCCCGTGAGCTCTTCTGGGTGGAGTGGGAGGGGATAGTTCCTCAGAATCCTAGATCAGCATCCTATTAGGGAGGGAGCTTAGAGATGGCCTATCCTATGGGTCTCAGAGTGGGTCCCTGAGTCAGCAGCTTCTGCAGCTGCTAGAATCTGGTTGAAAATGCAAACTCTTGGGCTTCTGGAATCAGAAACTTGGGGGCAGGGCCCCAACCTGTATTTTAACGAGCCTTCCAGGTGACTGGTGCAGGCTCAAGTTTGAGATTGGCTGGTGTGGTTGGATTGGTTTCATTTTAAACATAAGAAGCAGAGGCCCTGAGAGGGGAAAGGGGACCTTCCTCATCTGGCACAATGACAAAGGACACAGGGACCAGAACCCAGGTCTCCTAACCCCAGGGCTAGTTTTGACCTGTGGGTGAGTCTGTGTTATGCACTCTGAGTGCGCTGGTGGTTAGTTTTCCCTCTCTACCCCTGAGGTTCTGATTCAGTGGGTCTGGGGGTGGGGAGGCATCACCCCTGGGTTGGGCCTTTCCAGGCTGCTCTGTGAAGCTGGCCTTCCTTGCCTTTTGGCCTTCTGTGCCTCTGACTCCCATTTGCTATGTGAAAAGGAGGCCAAGTCTTGAACAGAGCTGAACTGGGAACAGATGAGCTGGAGTTTTGTTCCAGGTGAACTTGACCTTTGAGTCTCAGTTTCCTCATCTGTAAAACCTAGATTTAGTCTCTATGCTGGCAGCCTTATAGGGCTGCTGTGAAGCTGGGGCTGAAAGCATTTTCTTTTCATTTTTTAAAAATATGAATTAACTGTTTATTTTGCACCGGCATTATGTGGTATGACGTAACATTCAGAAGTTACAAAAGAGCGCCCAGGGAAAAGCAGGGCCATGTCCTCACACCAGACCCTTCCTGGGGTGCCCTGCATCCTCCTGAGGGTCATCTGTATGTATGTAGGTATAAAGGAGACTAAACTTTATCATATGGTGAAAAAAGTAATTGTTTCACTTCCTACTTTGAGATGATCATAGATTCTCGCTCAGTGGTAAGAAACAATGGAGAGATTCTATATACCATCACCCAGTCTCCTCCAGTGGTCACATCTTGCTTAACTGTAGGGCAACATTGTAATCTGGAAACTGACATTCATGCTATCCTTCCATCCACTCTGATTCCACCAGTTTATATACATGAACTTTCTAAAACCCAAAGGGTAGCATCTGAAGACTTCTTGCTCTGAACCTTGTGAAAAAGCATTTTGGGAAAATAATGAATTTTTAAAAGTGTTTTGGAAATGACCATGTGCCAGGCATTATTTTATGTAGCATCTATGTAATAAATCATACATGCAGTAAATCATATGTGTGATAAATCACACAGGCAGTAAATTATTTTCTCTACACTGAACCCCAGGAGATGAGTTCTTATGATTACTTCTATTTTATGAACCAGGAAACTGAAGTGCTCCTCCTGATCCACTCTGGGGCCTCCCCATGTAAATAGTGGTTATGTTTTCTGGGTCCAGAGGCTTCCCTTGCACTGCTGAAGGCACCCTTGAGTCCTTGAACCAGGCTCTGCTCTCAGATGGACAGGGAAAGCCCATCCTGGACTGGTCACTTATGCCTCTCGAGCTGAGGCTGTGGGTGCTTGTCTGCTTTTTCTCCTCCTTCTTTTTCTAGGGCACGTTCCTTCTTCCTTCTCTGCCAGCCATGTTTTCTCTGTCTTCCTGACCCCCTTGGACCTGAAATTCAGGCTAGGAATATTTTTTCTCCATTTATAACCCCTCCTTGTTCCCTATGGGATTGAGGGCGGGTCTGACTGCAGAGATTTCTCTGTTCTCATCCTCCTGCTCCCAGAAGAGCCCTTGGAGATGCTGTGATGAATGATTTTTGATGGGATAAAAATGAATCGAGTGCTGCGCTGTTTCCCCTAATTTGTTAAAGCTGTGAGCAGCTGCCTGTGTCACCTGAGCACACAGCTGGGCCAGAGCCTAAGCTGGAGCCCATCTGTCCCCAGGCCAGGAGCGTGGGCCTGGGAAGCGCTGCCAAGACCCTGTGTGGGGCCTTGGGAGGGACAGCAGAGGCCTGGAGCCAAGGTCTCGAGGGAGCCCCGCCCAGCTCCGGGATAGCAGAGGAGCTGAGTGGGGCCTGGGCCTGCAGCCAGAGCCAGGAGAGGAGTCTCCTGGCCTGAGGTGTCCCCTTCCACCYCTGGCCTCCTCCAGCAGGGCCCCTCCTTCCCTTTCTGGCCCACTCCACAACTTTCCCCTCATTTCTCTTCTCAGCAAAGCTGAGGTAAGCCAGAGTCTTCTGAAGTAATTATTCCTAGAAATTTCAGGAACCCAAGGAGGAATGGCCAAAAGGAGAAAGAAGAAGGAAAAAAAAAAAAAAAAGGAGATCCTTTGGGAAAAACCAAGATTTTACATCTGCCTGTCATTAATAACACCTTTAATGTGTCTCCGTGGGCCTATGGAATAAACACTACAGGCATTAACTAGTTCTCCATCGAAGAGATGCCGGCACTGAGGCTCGCAGAAGGTCCCCCAGCAAGTGGCTCACCTGGGATTCTGTCTGTCTCTGCCACAGGGGCTGTCCCATGAACTTGAAGTCTCTTTCCTGTGGCACTCTGACTCAGGCATTCCGAGTCCCTGTGTGGCAGTCTTCTGACCCCAGAGCCGCACCAATACTTAAGAGCACACAGTATCTGATATTATTATTATTAGCAGCAACATTATTATTTTTTAAGGCTTTCAAGGAGCTGGCCACTGGATGAAAACAGTGTTTGGGGAAGATTATTGTAACCCTGAGGCTGTGACACACACCTGTAATCCCCACTTACTTTGGAGGCTGAGATGGGGGAATCACAAGTTCAAGGCCAGCCTAAGCAACTTCACAAAACCTGCCTCAGCATAAGAAGTAAAAATAGCTGGGAATGTAGCTCATTGGGTTTTATTGAGCACTCCTGGGTTCAATCCCCACTACCACACCACAAAAATAATCGGAACACCATGCCCTAGAGGCGRGGAATAGAGTAATATAATAATAAAGGAGACAGAGTTTTCTGGGGAGGTGGCCAGGGAAAGGTCAGACCGGGGTGGAAGGCAGGTCCAGTCACTGACAACAGGAAATGAGGGCAAGTGGTGTGGGCGGTGGGAAGGGAGGAGAAAGCCGGCCTGCCTGAGTCCCGCAAGAGCTCTGTGAGATGAAGATTGAACAGAAACAGGGTTCGTGGTTGGGAAAAGTAGGAGTCAGGAGACAAGTTATGACAATTTAGTTTACAGATCTTTACTGGCTTTATTTTTGATTCTAGAATGCGGCAACACTTCATTCCATAAAATAGAATAAGGGCTCCAATGGGCTGAACCAAAGAGATTGGTTTTACATAGAAGGGCTAAAAAAAAAAAAAAAAAAAGCAGAAATAAAGAACAAAAAGCACTTTGGTTGTTTCAGAGTTACTTTCCTCATGAGGTGAGGACAGGGAGATAGAACAGTAGAAATAAATGGATTGGTGAACATCAGGTTACTTCAAGTTACTGTGTGTGTGTGTGTGTGTGTGTGTGTGTGTGTGTGTGAGTGATAGAGAGAGAGAGAGAGAGAGAGAGAGAGAGAGAGAGAGAGAGAGAGAGAGAGAGAGAGAGAGGCRGAGGCAACTCCACTATCATGGCAAGTTGAAACTGGCCTTCTTGAGAAATGTGYCTGTTCTCTTTCTCCTGATGTCTCTGAAGGTCAGTTTCAGTTTGGTGATGGGGAACTTTAGCATGAGTGACTCAGTTTTGGTTTTTAGACCCAGTGTGAGGTTTTAGTCCAATAGAATGGTCTCCTCTAATTTTTATTTATTGGCATCAAGAGTTTCCTTTGGGGACCAACCAACAGCAGATATAACATAGTGCCTGGAGGTGGACAAGAGTGAGTTTTAATCTCAACTCCTTGATAGACCATCTCAGTGACTTGGGCCATTGACCCAATCTGTTTCCTGACAGCAAAAATCGAGTTTCCTGTATCTATCACCAAGGTTGTGGGAAAGTTAAATGAGCTAATGGAGGTAAAGCCCTCCCTGTGTGTGGGCCCACCGGAGGCTCTCCGTAGCCAGTCCCCTGTCCTGGCATCCCATAAGGCCTGGGTCAGGAGGCTGCTTCCTGGGGTCTTGCCTGCAGAACCAGCTTGGCTTACAATTTCTGTTTCTGTTTTCACAGGAACTACCTCTTCAGACTCAGCCTTGCCAATGTCTCCCTCCTTCAGGTACATTTGCTTTTCTTCCCTTCCCTTCCTGTCATTTCCCCAACTGGGGGAGGGGCAAGGCAAGTGGTGAGGTTCAGAATTCAGTCCCTAGGATTGGTGACAGGAGCCACTTGCTCTTTTCCCTCGCTACAGACTAGACCCTGCTACCACGGTAATTGCCAGGATGATAGCTGGAAGCAGGGTGCAGCTCACATACACATGGAGGCACACACAGGGCTCTCTGCATTGTGCAGAGAGGCTGCTGATGGGCAAGGGGAGGAAAAGAGCAYTGGTTGGGGTGGCCAGCTGTCCCTATTTGCCTGGGACCAAGGGGTTCTCCAAGATGCAGAATTTACAGTGGCTAAAACTGGGATTGAACCACGTAAACAGAGACAGTTGCTCATTCTAAGTCCAGAGCCTAAATCCACAGAAAAGTCTCAGAGTTYGGGTCTCAAGGGAAAGGGTATCCCTATTTCCTTTCTGAGCTTGGCCTGAGCAATCCCATTCTAACTCAGCATTTTCATTGAGCTGTGATTGATTTATTATCTGCTGCCAAGAATGACTCCCCAAGCATAATTCCCTAAGTGCTCTGAGAGGCTTTTTAATGGGACTCCTTGATCCAGAACATTTATTCCAGATTGAGAAACAGATGCCAAACCATCTCTGCAGAGGCTGAGCATTCCAGAGAAAGAATGGCCACCTCTTCCTCAATGAGGGAAGCGCCTTGCTTTTCATGTCTAGGAGGCTTCTTTCTCTCCCAGTAACCAAGCATACTTTGAGCACTTACTGTATATTAGAACTGAGCTGGGGGCTTCTTATGGTTTGGAGATGTCTGCCAAAAGCTCCTGTTAATGCAGGAAAATTTGGAGGTGGATGGTTAGATTATGAAAGCTGTTACCTAATTGGCCCATTTTCCTTTGGGTGGACTAACTGGGTAATAACTGTAGGCAAGCAGGGCATGGCYGGAGGAGGTGGGTCACTGAGGATGTGCCCTGCAAGAGTGCATCTTCCCTTCTGTCTCTACTCCCTTGCTGCTATGACAGGAGCAGTTTCCTTCTCACCATGCCCTTCACCCATGATGGCCTTTCTCACTGGGGCCCAGAGCAAGGGAGTGGGCCATCTATGGACTAATACCTCGGAAACCATGAGCCCCAAATGAACATTCCCTCCTCTAAGTTGTCCTTGCTTAGTATTTTGGTCACAATCACACAAAAGCTGCTTAAAATGGGACTAAAAGGATATAAGAAAGGGGAGCCCTTGATCTCCAGGGAAAGATAATGAATGATGCTTACAACCAAACTGGAACTTAGGAGTTCATCAAGTGCTGAACTACGTGCTATAGACTTTCACTGGAGCAGATGGCTAGGGAAGGGAGGCCTCCTTATTGAGCTGGTATGACATTCTGGTCTTCCTTTGAACTTGGATTCACACCCTGAGGGGCCATTGTRGCTCTTGGCTGGTCACCACAGGGGAGGTATCAGAGTAGAAAAGTTGTGCCCATTTGAGGGGAGGGATCAGGATGAATAAGGCAAGCTGAAAGGAAATCRCATTCATCCACTTACCTGTCCACTTGTTCTTCTATCCATATCTTTACCAGCCAACCTGTTCATCCATCCATCCAACTGCCCACCCAATAATAGTAAGTGAATATCTACTAAAGGCCAGGTCTAGTCCTACACATTGTATTAGGCATTTAAGTTCCAAAGGTGAAGCCCATCAGAAATCACATATGATTCCCTTTCCTGGAGGGGAACTGGGCAGCATGTTCCTGGGGCCCAGACTGGAGCAGGGCAGGGGAAAGCCTAGAGGTAGCCTTCTGTGGCCCACCAGCGTGATCACAAGCAACTAGTCCAAGTCTAGTTCCCAAGTGGTATCCACAGAAAACAAAACCAAGATGCCAAATTTAGCAGGTCAGGCTGGGGAAGGCCAGTRCAGAGGAGATTCAAAGTGGGCAGAAGCAAGTGGACCCAATGGTAACTGCCCTGTGTCCCAGGCAGTTGCTCTTTATTTGGTCCTCGTGGTCTGCAAATGAAGGTCTTTGGGCAGTGCCAAGGGGTTGAAGGGAAAAAGAGAGACAGGTGTACAAAAATAATGGCAGTGCTGTGGGATGCGTGCATGGAGGGGTGGCCTCTAGGTATGAGGAACCCTCCGGGACCAGGAGGGTTTGCAAAGACTTCCCACAGGAGCTGCCTTTGAGGTGGAACTCAAAGGATGTGTTTGGCAGGCAGTTAAGGGAAGAACAGAGGTGTGTGACAGCATGTAGCACTGAGGGGCAGGATCAGAGGGTGTGAGGGGGGGGAAGGGTGGGAAACGAGGCCCTGGGAGAAAGAGGTCATCTTGCAGGGGGTCTTCACTGCTGAGCTTAGGGGTCCATATTTTATTTTGAAAGCAAGGAGGATCTATTAATGAGTTTTAAGCAGAGAAATGGCATGAATAGACTTGATGTTTCGATCACCAGACCCAAAGCAGAGACTGGATTAGTGACRAGCCAGTCAGGAGACAATTGAAATGTCCGGTAAGTGATGAGGCATTTGCAGGAAAGCAGCAGCCATTGGAATGGGGAGAAGACAGGAAGGGATCCTAATGTGTCAGAGTCACACAGGGCCACAGCCTCACATTTCAGCATCATCGGGCACACTGTCTTCTGTGTGAAGGTGACCGCTGGCATGGGGCATTTGCAGCCTTGGAAGAATTGGTGATACTTAGACCACACAGGTGACATCTAGGTTTCTGGCTTGCACAGCTGGGTACCATGAATTGATATGGAAGTGGGGCTGGCCTGAGTCTAGTTGCTGGTTCTCCCTTGCTCAGGGGTACTTAACTTGGGCATTGGGATTTTTTAAATCTCTCAAGTGATTCCAATATGCAGCTAAATTTAGGAGCCACTGCTGTAGGAAGTTCAGAAGGCCTTGTCTGTAGATGCTGCCCAGCTGGTTTGGCACAAGTCTTCTTGACAGCTGGTCTGCAGGTCATAGGTCATGTCCCTAATCAGATGTTAGGACTCTCTGCCTAATGACTGAGCCCTGGTTTGGCTCATCCTGCTYAGTATTGATCTGGTCTCAGCCAAGGGCAGGGATCTTTGGCAACCCCATAGCTCCTGCTTGAGGCAGGGATTCGGCTTCAGAGGATTCCCTGAAGAGCCCTGCAAACTAGTCCCAAGATTACCAGGATCTGGTTTCTCAGGGGTCTAACCTCAGAAGTTCAGACTGGATTCTCCTGACAGGAGGAAGGAAATAAATACATTTTATATTCACATTCCCGTAGTAGGAGGTACTGGCCAAAAAGGGAGAGAACACACTGGAGGCTTTGGAAAAACYATTTTGCTTCTTCTCTCAGGCTAGGGGCAGACCCTGGTCTCTGGTCCTCAGTGTGGTGCCTCAGGTCTGCTGTCTGGCCCTGGCATTTGACTCTAAATGCCACACTTCAGCAAGTACCCCAGCATGGCCCTCTCTGGGGGCTTCATTGTCCTCAGTGTCTATTACAAATGGCTCACCAGCGACCAACGACTGTAAAGAGCTCCACCATATTGCMGACAGGGGAAGACACACACATAAGTTAGAAGGCTTCATTACAGAGCCAAGTAAGTCTCCCACTTGGCCCCAGGGTATGATTTAAGCAAACTTAAACCTCAATGTTTTATTGATGGTTTAAATAATTAACACTCCTTAAAGAAAAATCTAAATGCAAACAGCTTATGCAAACCAGTGTCCATTAAAGGGACTTCTAAGTACCTAACTCTCATTAAACAATTAATGTAAACTACTATTCCTTAAGGAAAATTGAAATACCCAGCTCCTTCCCAACTCTCAAGCACCAAAGGGAGGGGAGGCCTGGAGGGGAGATGCAGCTAGGAACAGATGGAGCCACTGTGTCTGGGGCAGTGGGAGGAGTAGCGAGGGGTGAGCAGGGAAAAGCAAATCAACTCAACTGTSATGGTTATTATTGGTGTAACTTGATAAAATGATCTTGGGAAACTTCAAAAAGGAGGTGAGCGTTCATCAGTGTCATGGAGCTGCTGAGAAGACCAGCGCAGGCTGTCTTGAATTTGGCAATTAGGAGCTCCAGAGTGGTCTTTGCCAGGACAGTTCCAGGGGATGATGGGGGTGGAAGCCTAGTTGCAAATTGATCTTGGGGTGCCATATGTCCTGCAAGTGCAGAAATGAGGACAGGCCTGCATGTGTACATCAGGATGCACAGTGGGGCTTTGTTTGAGAGACTGGGYGACATTGGGATGATTCCTGAGCTCCCTTCCAGCTATCTCTATGTCCCTCAAACTCAGATCTGGCAGCCTGGAGTTGTTAGAAGTCTAAATTCTGCRGAGTGGGGAACTTTAGGGTCAGAAGATGTGTTAATGCTCCGCCGTCATCTCTGGCCCCCTCCTGTCCAGGATGGTTCAAGGAGACCATTGGCTACTCTCCCACAGCAGGAAAACCACCCAGCCACTCTGACTAGAGATCACCACTATGGAATTTCTGGGAACAGTCCTAGTTTAGTACTCTGCACAGCWGATTGAAAGTCTGTGTCTCTCTCCACTCCCTCACAGAAAGCCACTAAAGGCACTGTGAGAAGTTTTAATATGTACAGGTCCATGATGACAGAGAATGACAGAAGAGATGTCAGTGGAGAAGAGATTAAATGCCTTCTGTGAGTTAGAAAGTGGGTGGAGGGATCATCCTGTCTTAGCAGAGCAGAACAGCTTAAAGAGCAAGCTGAGTCCCCAGCAGGATCCGAAATTGGGGTGCTGGGGATTGTGGAATTTAAGGATGAACCACAGTTTTAAAAGCGGGAATTGATTGAGATTCTTCATAGGGAGGTTAGAACTCACTCACCCTCTTTGCCTAGCAAAGGAGACTGAACTCTTTCTCCAGAGACCACACTGGAAAGGCTTCATATAGGGACTGCAGGAAGGGTGAAGGACACRGATGGCGAGTGGGGCCAGAGCAAAGAGCTCAAGTGGAATTCTGCTACCCCAACTCCTGCCACATGCCCAGACTAGAGACTTGAGGAGTTTGCTGGAGAAA